AGAAACCACTGTCAAATTTTGAAGGCCTTGATAAACATTTAAATTCCCCTTGCATTGCTACTGGAATGTCCCAGGAACCTAGGTTCCTTCATCTCTAAGAGTGGCCTCTTAAGGACATGGCCTCCTTAGCCATTCTAGAAAGAAAAGAATAAGTACAAGCAAGCAAGAGATTTTGGTGGCAGCTTTCAAGGACGAATACATCACCTTCTCACAATAAATTAGTCAGAGTCCAGTCACTCGCCTGGTCACAACTTCAAGGGAGGCTCCCAATTTCAAGCCCCCTTCATATTCAGAAAGTGGAAAGAGAAAAGGTGATCACTTCACTGTTTTCTATGACAATCTCTAAACAACAAACCTGCAACTCCTAATCATGCCATTGGGATTCTTATGCTGTTATCAAACTCTAGTGAAAGAGTGTTGGGGCGGATAATCGTTGCAAGCAGGGAACATGGAGATATGTGGTAAACAAGAGCTGTCAGTCCTTGTCCCCATGTCTCTCTTTCTTCCCCCATTCCCCACACGATCTAGCCATCCTGACATTTCCTACAGGCTGCTTGGACTAACTTGGGAAGTTTGATTTGCTCTTTGGGGATCGAAAACCTTTCAAGATTTCTAAGTATCATAATGTCTACCTCATGAATATATCAGAAAGTCCTAGTGGAGTCCCCAGGAGGATATACAAAATGTTCAGAATTTAAACTGTTAATAGGAATAAATACTTATTTGAGGAGATATGATGTACTTAATTCTGAATTACGGCTATTTAGCTGCATCTTGAAATGCACTTCAAACAACCATGTTGGTCATCTTGAGTTCTGTTAAGAATCTAGTGAGCCGATAAATTGATATCTCAAAGAAAGGAGAAACGAAAATTAAATTAGAAATAAAAATTAACAACGGAGAGCATTTCAAAAATAAATTTCTATCTTATCAGTTTCTTTCATAGACCCCAGAGATGGGTACTGTTGTCAGTGGAAAAAGTGATTTTCTTTTCAAAGTTTTCCATTCAGTGAGATGACAAAGGTATCTGAAATTACAGATCTGAACTCCCTGAGAATCAATGCTTTTCCTGCTGGCAACTTAGAAGCTTCTGTAATTGATGTGACAGTTTCATTTCCCCACTGCCACAGATAATCGACATGTTACTCCTTCTCTGAAGCAAATCTTTTAAAAAATGGATTTCAGTTTTATTTTTTAGTAGATATTAACATTTGCCAAACAAGGTAGGGTGGCAACGGCAGACTGTAGATTCAAGGCTTTGATAACTCCTCTCTGGACAGTACAAAGCAAAAGTTGTCAGTGTGATTTCATCAACATACCTAATAATTGCTCCAAATGGACAACTGATTATTTAAATTCTTTGTCGCTGGGCCTTTTAAATATAGAAGCCTCTTTAGAGAATCAGGTGGACACAAAGGAAGACACACATTTGTTCAGGCCTTCAACATCCTTGCTTTAGATAACTTTTCCGGCTTAGACAATAAAATAGAAAACTTGTAATACAGTAACAATAGCTGTTGCTCACCTCGTCCTGTTTGACTTCATCCCATTTCTCCCTTTCATATGACCTCACCTTAAATCCCTCGGAATTCACAGGCATTCCCAATGATCTCTGACACCATTAGATATATTTTTCATGATCTGTTCCCTCGACCTAGAATGTCTCCTATGCTTGCCAGAGTCAGTTTAGTTTATGTTGCAGTAACAAACAGTTACAGATATAACGTGGCCTCAAAATAACATACATTTATTTTTCATGGGTGTAGGGGAGGTGGTAAAGCTGGTCTTAGCCCAGCCACTGTGCACCAAGGCATGGTGGGTACTTTGTCTCAATGCTTCCGTGACTGCTGCTGCAGCGAGGATGGATCACGGCAAAGTATACACTGGCTTTGCAGTGTTTTGCCCCGCATGACATTCGTTCTCTCAACTTAAGTTTTCTTTAGAAGGAAAAGCTCATGGCTATCCCTAAATTAGAAGAGGAGGAAATGTGACCCCATCGTGGAAAAAAGAATGATGCATACTTTTGTTAGAGTGCTAATGACTGTCATAACAACCCTTCAGGAGGTGATGTTTCATTCATTTTCAAGATCCAATTCAAATGTCATTTCCTCTTCAAAACTTTCTGTGGCATACCAAGACAATGAACTCCTTCCTTAAAATTATTCCCAGGTATTTTGTACATGCTTCAGGTACCTTTGTCATCTTACTGAATGGAAAACTTTGAAAAGAAAATCACAATATTTGATACCTGCAACTTTAAGGAGGAAACCATCACTACACTCCCACATTTTTATGCCAACCTGATGTACTCACAGCACATACTAGGTGCTTGCTAGATCTTTCTTGTTTGAGTTATTTTTTTTTTTTTGCCATTTTCCTGACTAAGCCATAAGCTTATTGAGAGTACAGACTACGTCTTTTGGCATCATCTCAACTCTAGTATCTTAGAGTAGCACTTGGAAGTAGTGGCTGTCCACTGTATATTGAGTGAATAAATAATCTTTATTATTACAATATGTTATATTAATAAGGTGGTATAGGTTATGATGCGGTGACACACGAGCTCCAAAATATGAGATAAATTCAACAGATGTTTGTGACTTTCTCACGTTACGTGTTCTAGATAGGCAGGCAAAGGATTCTGCTCCATCCAGATAGGAAGCTGGACTGATCCAGGTTCTATTGTTTTATAGTCAAACATCTGTGAGCCTAGACCTTTTAAGTTACTGTGGCAAAGGAATAAGAAACTGGAAAATCACAGGTGGCTTTTAAATTTTTAGTCCCGGAAATGACCCATCTCATGCCCGTTCAGTTTTAGTTCTACAAGACAAACTAATCACAACCACATCACTGAACGAGCTGGAAAATGTAGAGAAATAAGTGGAATATTTGATATGTATTACTGTCTGCATCACACACTTGAAGACGTTTTCATTATAGAAAGTAAAATGCCTGCAATATGGAAAACGTAATGTTGACAGGTAATGTAATCATATTTTTCCATCACTTTCCAGCTGAGATGCCTGAACTCAATAGCTGGTGTGAAACGCCTTTGAAGTAGAGAAGGAGAAGCATCAAGCTGCTATGTTTGAGAAACATTTCAAGGACAATCAAATGACTTTCAAGTTAATATGAACCTGCCTTCCAACTTCTGATTAAATATCGATAACAATGAGAGCTATGTAGTAACACTAGAAATAATATTTAGCTATATGCTAGCAACTGGAAAAAATTTGTAATGGAGTTGTGAATGGGTTTATGCTAATCATTGACTGCCTTGTCTTCTGTGTTGGCACATGTTCCTGGAGGAAATACTTGGCTGGACCTTGATCTGTTTCCCAGGCTCAGATGCTGAGGTTACTTAATAACAAGGCATTATTGGATGGGGTGGTCACAATTAGAGTACCATGCTTTTAAGCTGTAAACTCAGCGAAACCCCACACATGGAAAGACAGGCTAAAGCAGTAGTGGCTTGTCACCGTAGACTGTTGGTATCATTAAAAAGTTCACCATCACTGGGCTAGAGCCTTGGGTCCCAGAATCCGCCGTGAGGTCTTGTCACTCTTGTGCATTCACTGTCGTTCTTTTCTGCATACAGAATCAAGATGGCTGGAAGTAGCAGACTGTGTCACTCTATCGGTGCTTTATTAGGTGGATAGCTAATAGAAAAACAGGCAACGTATGGAATTCTCAAAACTTCACCTTCCTATAAGGATCAGAGAAAAATATTCTCCTTCAACGAATTGGACAATGGGGGCTGATTTGATAATGTGTCCACTATGGTGATAATTCTAACTAGAACATTTCAATTTCAAGAATAGACAAGCAAGAGACAAAACAAATAGACAAAACAAAACAAATGAGACCTATGAAAAATGTACTTCAAGATATTTCAAAGAAATGTGAATGCGAAGCATGCCTAAGTTCTTGTATCTTCTCTAATCAAGTATTTTGATAGCATCATTTCTATTTTTAAAGCCTTTTTTAAAAAATCTGTTGTCTTTGATTTTGGTTTTTATAAAGACAATTTTCATCATCTCACATTCAAACATTATAGGCTTATATTACATTTGATTAAATTACATAATTACCAGAGCAAGTGCTCCAGCTATCTATTGCTATGTAACAAATATTTAGAGGTTTAAAACAATTTTATTCTTTTTACAATTTTCCAGTCTGTACCGGGGGTTGGTCAGGTGGTTTTTCTGTTCTATGTGGTATCTTCTGGGACTGAACATGTCTGAGGCTTCAGATGGGCTGGATGGGATATGTAGGGGTGACAGAACATCTCTCTTCAGGTGACCTCTTCCTGTCTTGGGTTTGCACACAACATAGCATCCTCAATAGAGAGACTCTTCCATGGAAGCTGGTTTTCAAGAGAGATGAAGCAGAAGCAGCCACTTCCTTTGAAGCCCAAATCTGAGACCAGCACAGTATCATGGATGCCACATCTTATTGGTCAAAATATATGACAGGACCAGCCTGTACTCACGGGGACCAGAAATGGACTATTTCTGCAAGTAAGGAGTAGTATGTTTATAGATAGGGAGAAAATGATAACAGTTCCCTTTGGAAACTATTTACCCCAGAAAGAAAATAGGCATGGATATATTTAGAGACCAAAATAACCTATTATTGTTAAATATCTAGCTTATACAGGATGAGCTGATGTGTGTGTGTATTTATAGAAGAATAATCTACTAATCTTATATTTAGTGTGCAATAACAACACTGATTATTTTATAGAGCAATTAGTTAATCCTATGATGAGGCGTAGTTACAAATGTATATATATATATATATGTATATATATATATATTAATTCAAAATTGAAATTAAGAATCATTAGTGAAAAAGATGATGAAAGTGAACTACAAATACTCATGGGAGAAGTAAAACTCTTTGAGAAGGAAGACTATATCTTATGCAAGAGAGAAAAGAGAATTATAGTACATGAAAAGAAGGCCTGTGTCACCTGAATGGAGTTGAGAGGTAACTGGGTTTGAGAAGACAGCATTCGCGGAAAAAAGGAGAAAAGTCTGAGTGCTCCCTATGTGATAAAACAGCATTTCTTCTTATTTCTTTGGGTCTCAAGTGATGTGATGCTCCTGCCAAGACATGCTGAGAGTTCTGTGATAATGATGAGAGAAAAATTTCAGTCTAATTGTCTGCATTCATTTTAATAATATAGTGTTTTATCTAATGGAGTTAGATGGAAAACCCCTGGGATATGTATAAAAACACCCACTGTCAACATTGAGCTTTGCCAGAGAAAACCGATTCCTAACATTTTTTATTATTTGTATTAAAAAAAGTGGCCCAGGGAATTTTCATGTAGGAACATAGGTAACCATGACTCTAAAGAAAACTTGTGACTAATGCCCTCCACCAACCCTTTAATTATGTTCTGCCTCTCAGCTGTGGCCTGATAACTTAATATTATTCCATCTTTGTCTGATTCTGTTCACATGAACTCAGAAGAATCTGTCAGAGAAATTCTTGCCCCTGAAACTGGGAAGAAGAAATAACTTTAGGCATTGCTGAATTTTCATCATTTACTGTTAATAAATATCTCAACAAAGGTATGTGAAAACACATTTATTATTTCCTATTCAGCTAAGGAACATCACTGTGATAAGAAATTGCTGCTCTTGAATGTTAGCTGAAAGTTATTATCAAGTTACTCAAATCCAAATAAAAAAGGTTTTTAATAATTCTGTGGACAAATTTATGTTTTGCTTGAGTTTTAGAACATAATCTAAAAATGACCAGTTGCTTCTCTGTTGTTTTGTATAAGAAAGACATACATAAATAACAACAGCTAGATGCTCCCTTCCTGAAATTGGGTAATCAGGAGGATTCTGAAGTTCCCTTTCAACTTCTTGCCAAGTGTTACCAATTGGTATGTCACTTCCGCTGTGTACCACTTGTACTAGGTTCTGGGGAAGCCAAGCAACACTTGAGGAGAATCCAATCTTAGAAGAATTTCCAAACAGTTACAGAAAACATATTCCTAATAATAGAATTGGAAAAAGTAGCAAGAAATATTCTAGGACTATTTTAACTCCAGGTGAGAGAAGATAAAGAGGTGTGATTATGTCCTATTCATCAGGCACCTTAAGAACTGGGAAAACCTTGTTTCATTTTTATTTCTGTAGATTACTGTGTCTTGCTGACCACAAGGCTGGGCTATGTAAGAAACCTGTGTCCTAGCTGACCCAATGTAGAGCAGAAGTGGGGGTATCTGCAGTGATCTGGGAACTCCCCCCTATCCTAGGGTGATTCCAGCCACACCGCTACTTCTTGAGTGACTGAGATTTACATTGGGGTCTATAATAAATAACACACGAATCATTTGAGAACAGAGACTGCCGATTTACACCTAGAAGAGTGGTCCAGAATTCTGAGAAGAGAGAGGCTTATGACGCAGGTGGAAAAGATCAAGAAATGCCGTATGTGGTTCCCCACCAGTGAGTTTTCATTTTATTTTCTGAAGTGCCTTATCATATACAAGAGGAAGAATAAAGATAATTAAGCCATCTCAATGAAGCAGCAAAAATGGAAAAAATAATTAAGCTAGCGTTTGAGTCTTGGTCACATTAATTAGTAGCATTCACCTTAACCCCATAGGTCTAAGAATGTATTTTGTCCTTGAAGCCTTCTTCCTGAACTCAAGACAGACATAATAACATACAGAGCAAGAATTCACAATTCAGTTTACCATCATATGAACTCATCTAACTTAAAATGGAAATATTGACATGAGAAAAATACCCACCCACACATTTTTTAATGGCTCAAACCTTCCAAACACAAAAAAAGTAAAAAAAAAAAACAAAAATACTTTTATTTAGGAATTTAATTCAACAACCATTTATCAAGTGCAAGATTTAGTACTGGCACTATTAAATAATGAGTATGTATGAATCTCTTCCTATTGTAGCTGGGAGGTAGGGAAATAATAGTCTAATAAAATATGTAAAGTGCCGTGAAAACTGTACTCCCACCCATATACATCATACAAAGAAACCAGCAACGGAGGAAAATTCCCTATATATTTGTTACATTCTCTAGAGGAACTGAAACAATAGAATATATATAATTATAAGAGGACATTTATTAGATTGGTTACAAGATCAGAGCCTGGCTGGTCCCACAGTGGCCGTCTGTAGGCTGTAGAGTGGGGAAACCATTTCCTTCTAATTCCAAGAAGCTTGAAGCTTCTGAGGAATCGGGGTGGGGGGCGATAGTGCAGCCAAAGCTGGAGGTATGGAGTTGCCTAGAGGGTTGCTGGTGCAAGTCTGCATTTAAAAGGTAAAGAATCTGGAATTTGATGTCACCAGTGCTGGCAAAAGCAAAAATACCCCCTCAGCACCACCCAAGAAGAACCGAGCACTCATGAAAGCCTCGTTTCTGTTCTATTAATCTGGGCAACCAGGCTGTTGGATGGCGCTAACCTCATTTGGGATGGTTCTCTCCCACCTCAGTCACCGACCTACCCGCTACTGAACTCTGGCAACATCTCGCAGATGCATGCAGAATTGTGCCTCAGCAATTTCAAGGTGGCTCTCAATCCAGTACAGTTGACATCAAAGATAGGAAAGCTCCCAGGGTACCTGAGATACATATAACATCAAGAGAGACAATAGTTGTAGATGCTTCAGGAATCAAAGTGTAGAGAGATATTTACATGCATTGTTTGGAAATGGTCACCTCCAGAGATTCACATTAATAACAAAATATAATCCAGCTTTTTACTATTGATGGTAAGCTTTATTTTTTGAGAAAATACCTGTCATGCTGTGAGAGTTTTCATGACTCACCTATTTAAAGAACACATTTCAAATACCATCTGAACTTAAAAGCTGACTCTAAATTGAGCAATTAAAGTGAAAAGGACTTTTAAATAAATTATACATTTGGTTAGAGTCCATTAGAACTCATCTGCCGGCACTTTTTAAAATTGATTTTAAAAGAAATAAAGTACTGCTTTGGAAAAAAGATAGATTCCTTTCCTTTGAATGTTGAAAAAAATAAAAGTATTTCATCTGTGGGTGTTAAGTATAACACATGTATTCTTTTGAAGATGTACATGTGGGCATTTAATATTTTATGATGGGAGAAATGAATATTATACCAGACATAGTTTGCATATTGTTAAAGTGCAAGAACTATTAGCACTAGATATTTCTAAAATTTTATTCTTGCCATTCATTAAAGCCTTTAAACTGTGAAGTAGTTTTCAGTATGAGAAAAATGAAAGCAATAGAAGGTACACTAAGAGAGATTTTCATTTATTTCCAAGCAGAGATCTTGTCTTGGCAGAGGTGGTGTAACATAGAACTAGATATGCCTTCTAAAGGTACTGGGCTTGAGCCCCAGATCTCTCACAGACTGAATTTGAGCAAAATTAGTCATTACTTGGAAATGTTCCAGGACCACCCATGAAAATCAAAATCCATAGATTCCTTTATCTATAAAATGATACAGTATATAAAAGATATACACACTCCCATGTTGTTTAAAACATGTCTTGAATAGTTTATGATATCTAATACAATGGAAAAACTACGTAAATATTTCTTGTGGATGCTTAGGGAATAGTGAAAAGGAGGAAAAAAACCTATCCATGTACAGTGTAAATATAAATTTTAATGATTTTTTAACGTGCAGTTGGTCAAACCTGAGGATGTGGACCTCAAGCATACAGAAGATCTACTGTATTTATTGTTCTAAACCTCAATTTCCTCATCGTAAGATGGAGACAAGAGTAACACAAATACCTGGCTGTCTTCTGCAGCAAATTACCACAGCATATTCCCCAGCAGGTCGTCATCGAAACTCCTCTCAGTTCAATCTATGCTCTTTTCCTAGCAGTTCACTCCTTTATGAACAACTGTGTCTAGCAGCCCTTCCACAATAAAGAGTTGCATTGTGTTTTTTACGTCTAGGGAAGCTTAAGCCTGACCTCTTCTTCACTTTTTATCCCCTACCTCCACCCAGTCTGGCTAAGGTGGTACGGAAAGGTAACCCAGGTATTCTGTCCTTTGAAAAGAAGTTCAAATCATGCACGCCCCTTCCCAGAACTTTTAAATCACCATGAAAACCCTGAGCCAGTCTACTTTTTCTGCTTTCTCAAGACATTTTTTGGACTGGCTATGAAGCCTGCCTGTGAACTCTGGAAATCTTATCGTGTGGGTAATAATATATTCATACCTTTTTGGTGCATGCCTTGAATCTTCAGACTTGCATTCTAGCCGAATTTTGGTAGAGGTCTACATGTTTCTGTAGCATAGCCCCTGTCTCTCCAATGCCCACACTTTGCTCTGAGAGTAGAATGTCTTGAAAATAACTTTTACCTGGACCTTTCTCTCCTTGCACACGTTAGAAGCTGCTCCTTCCTGTGGCCTGCTCTTTGAGCTGTGCAGCTATCGGCCACATTCAGTGAATTCTGTTAAGGCTTTGTTATAGATTGAACCAGGCTGTTAAATAAAAGGAGTGCAGAAATTAATGATCTCATTCACTTGGCCCTGTGCCACAAGTCTTGTTTAAAGCCTATCTGTGTATGTTTGATTAAATCATATGTCTCAACTTCAGCATACGCTGTGACTGACATGAGGCTCAGGGAGCAACTCTTACGCTTAAGCAATTGTGTGTGATCTGTTACCTTTCAGCCAGGTGTGAGTGCCAGCTTACCTCTGCCTTTTGTGACTCTGCATGGTCACTCATGAGGAAGAATAGGAACTATGCAGAAGCTGTTATTATTTGAACTTGAATTGCTAAAGCCCACAAACCGAAGGGCAGAATGCCCTATTGCTGCTGCTATTGCTCTTGATGTCTCAGGTGTTGAAAAGATTCTGATCTTTAGGGATATCAGAAAAAAACACCCATGACCTCTTTGCAGCAAAAAGGTTAAGACAATCATCATTACTGGGATAATCCTTTTTTTTGTTGTTTATTTGTTTTTTTGAGACAATGTCCCACTTTTCATTCCAGGCTGGCCTCAAACTCGGCATTTCTCCTGCCTCAGCCTCCCAAATGCTGAGATTATAGGAATGCACCACCAGGCCCAGCTTTGGGCCACTGATCCTAGTGCTTTGAGTCTCTCTAGAGGAACCCAAAATTTACTAAAAGAGATTGAGCAACAAGAGGTTAAAAAAAAGTGCTGATTGGCTTTTATACCTTTATAGCACATTTTGGTTTTAATTTAAAATACTAAAATACACCAATTGGCAAACTTTCATGGCCATCAATACTGGGGTTCAACTTACAGTTATATTTGGGGAATGTTTCTCATTTAAAGTAGTTCCCATAATCTCATGGGAATTATTAAACCTAAGTAGAGGACATGAATATCACCATCGCGTTACCTAAATCCTGTATTTGTAACACCTTTGGTTCAAAAAATATTGCAGAGTAAGCACAGATACCCTGTCCAAATGAACAGCAAGTTAATAGTAAATCAAATCTCTGCACCTACAGATTGGCTTGGCGTGAACCTTGCTACTCCCACAGGCGGGTACTCAAACAAACTTCCCTGACCCCTGCAAGACTGAATGCATGTCAGCACTAGTGACAGAAATCACAAGGTGCCACAGAGAAGACAAAGTACACAGTAAGGTATGGAAGAAATGACTGAAAGTCACACAGAACGGAAAAGCAGCACTCAGCCGTTTCTCTTAACAAGGACTCTAAGGTTGAAAAACTGAGTAATTTCCCCAAATCCACCCCATTCAAGGACTCATTTTCATCATATGTTGGTCTCTTCAGCTCACCATATTTTGCTTAACAAAGTATGTCGTAGAAAATAAGAACTGTCCTTGAGTTTTAGAGGGTTTTCTACTTTTCGTCTTCTAAAAGCAAGACTGCTTAAAATATATGTGCAAGAAAGGGGAAGAGAGAATATGAACTACATGTGAACCATATGTGCACAGATTACAGGGGAAGAGGTGAAGGACCACGTGGAAATGAAATGAATCGTCAAGTGTCCATTTAGATAACAAGTGAGATAGCGTTATTTACTGTCCTATTCCATTACTGACATTTTCTTTTACACCACAGGTTGCCATGACCCCTCGTTTTGTAGCATTTCATGATTGGAATTCTGCCACATGACATTTCACTAACCACATTCCACTGAACATCTCTTAACCCTTGACATTTGGGCATGGATGACATATTTGAACCTGCAATCAGAAACCTTTTCTTAAGAAATAAGCAATGCTTTTAGTGCCAATGCAAGAGAAGGAAATAGCTTTTTCTATATTTTAATAAGACATTTTCCATTTTCCAAATGTAAGCTTTTTACATTTTTAATATTTTTAGATGCAAGTTTAAATATGATTTTTTCTCTAATACAATTTCCTTCGTACATGACAGAATCTTAGTAAGCACTGTAAAACTTTTCAGAAAAAAATCTTTTCTGTTTTCAAAGACTACAAGTAGCTTATTAATTTTTAACCATTCTTTACTTATCAGAGTCTATCTGCCAAGACAACTTTTATTTAAAAATTTATTTTATATTTTATATTTATAAAGAGGCTGTATCGCAACTTGATTGGCATCTTAATTTCACTGTTGCATTTCTATGCAGCAGTCCAATGAATGTTCATGTCTTGTTCAAATAGCTAGCAATATTTGTTTATCAACTATGTCTAAGATTGGCAAATTATGGCCAAATTTAGTCCATGCCCCGTTTTTCGAGAAAAAGTTTCTAAACTTGGAACATTATGATCCAATCTATATATACATTTTTAGTGACTACTTTTGTGCTGCAAGTGGTACCATTGAGTAAGTATAAAAGACACTATGTGGCCAGCAAAGCCTAAAATGCTATCTGGCTCCTTATAGGAAAACAATATACTGACCTATGAGAATGCCGGAGGTGGCCGGGGAATTAGCTCAGGCCGCCTGCCTCGCAAACACAAGGACCTGAGTATGAGCCCCTGTACGAGAGAGAGAGAGAGAGAGAGAGAGAGAGAGAGAGAGAGAGAATACTGGAGGAATTATAAGATAGCATTTTGAAATAGTTTGACTAACATCTGAAAGATGAGTATAGTCCTACATTCTAAAAATGAGACCAAGTGAACCCAGACTTCACCCAGAAACAGATGTATTTGTTTTCTATCATTCAAAGTGTGCATTTTACTTCATTGGTTCTTCTACTTTCTTTTTTTGTTTTTTAGGACAATGGTTCTGAAGATGTAGGGTTTATTTTTTTTAACCACTTCAGTCACCTATTACGTATAAAAAGGCAGACTATTAAATCCTATGTCATAGTAGCCAATAATTTTCATCTTCCCAAAAGCTCTGTTCCTCACTGGCAGGGTAGGCCTTCCCAGTTCACTAACTTCCAACTGACCAATGCAGATGACAGGTTTAGGGGTACTTTCTGGTCACTTTCATATTTCGTGATTCACAGAATCGGTCTATAGTTTTTAATATCACTAAAAATCTCAGAAGATTAAGTCCCTTAAAAACAAATGTGATTGTCTCAATGAAGGCAGAGAGCTCTGGAGAAAATTCTAACCTTCACTTGAAAAGAAAGAAACTTTCATAGTACTAAATGTTAAGATTTCATTGTGTTGTGAATCCTGAAGACTAAAACATTGTCACTCCAAGTGTGCCCACAGCCTCAGGACATTTATTTATATTATCAAGAGGCTTCTTAGAAATGCAAATGCCTATTCCGATTTCTTGGAGGGTTTTTATTTCAAATGTGTGTTCCATTTTGTCAAATGCTTTCTCTACATCTATGGAGATGATGATATGATTTTTGTCCTTGGCTCTACTAATATAGTGTATTCCATTCATTGATTTGCATATGTTGAACCATCCCTGCATCTACCTGGTCAGGGCGTGTGATCTTCTTGATGACTTCTCCTGCATTCTGTTTGTGAGTATCTTTTGCATCTATGTTCATTAGTGAGATTGGCCTATAGTTCTCTTTTTCGGTTGGGTCTTTCTCTGCTTTGGGGATCAAGGTGATGCTTGCTTCTAGGAATGAATTTGGGAGTATTAGAATTGCTTCCCTTTTGATTTCATTGAAGAGTTTAAACAGGAGTGGCAGTAGTTCCATTCTAAACATCTGGTAGAATTCAGCAGTAATGCCATCAAGACCCAGAATTACTTAGTGGGTAAGTTTTAATTACGTTTTCAATTTCATTGATCGATACTGGGTTGTTTAGAATTTTTAGGTCATCCTCGTTCAACTTTGGTAATTCTTATGAACCTAGGAATCTGTTTGTTTCTTCTGTATTTTTCATCTTATTGACATAAAGATTTTTGAAGTAGGTACTGATGATCCTCCTGATTTCTGATGGATCTGTTGTGACTTTACCCTTTTCATTCCTAATTGCATGGATTTGGGCCTTTTCTTTCCTTTTTTTGATAAGGTTGGCTAAAGATTTGTCAATTTTGCTTATTCTTTTGAAGAACAACGCTTGGTTTCACTAATTTTTTTTTTTTTTTTTTTTTTTTTTTTTTTTTTTTTTTTTTTTTTTTTTTGTACCGGGGATTGAACTCGGGTCCTTGCACTTGCAAGGCAGGCCACCGAATCACTGAGCTAAATCCCCAAACGTTACTGATTTTTTAAAAATTCATTCTCTTAGTCTCCATTGCATTTATTTCTGCCTTGATCTTTATGATTTCCTCCTTTGTATGAACTTTGGGTTTGTCTTGCTCTTCTTTTTCTGGAAACTTGAAGTTCAGCATCAGGTTGTTTAATTGCACTCAGTCTGTTTCCCTAATATGCATCTTCTGTGTTACTAATTTCCCTCATCAGACTGTTTTCATTGTGTCCCATAGATTCCAGTATGTTATGTTGTCATTGTCATTTAATTGTAGGAACTGTCTGATTTCTTCCTTAATTTTCTCATTGGTGTATGAAAAGATTTTATGAACAAAACCTCAGCTGCCCGTGAACTTGCTCAAACAATCCACAAGTGGTATCTCTTCTTATTAAAAAGCTTTTGCATAGGAAGAAAAACAACTAATAGTGTGAAGAGACAACCCACAATGTGGAAAAAACTTTTCACCAGTTCTTCCTCAGATAAAGGGCTACTATCTAGAATATATAGAGACAACTTTCAAAAACATCAGACCTCCCAAATGTAAAGGCACAATCAAAAAAATGGGCATCTGAAATGAACAAACACTTCTCAGACAAAAAAGTAGAAATAGCAAATAAATATTAAAAAAATGTTTAATCTCACTGGTCATTTGAGAGATGCAAATGAAAATAGCACTGAGATTCCACCTCACTCCAGAAAGAATGGCTGCTATCATGAAAGCAACTAATGACAAATGCTGGTGGGGCTGTGGGGAAAGAGAAACCATGCTCCACTACTGGTGGGAATGCAGACTGGTACAACCATTGTGGAAATCAGCATGTAGATACCTCAGAGAACTAGGATTGGAAGTCCCATTTGACCCAGCTATCCCCCTGCTTGGTATTTTTCCCAAAGAATTAAAAAATTATACC